TTTTCATTGCTTGTCGCTCATATATCCTGACCAAGACACAAGCGCACATCCTTAATCAGCCCTGATCACATAAACCTTCATAACCTCCATATCATGTGAATGTATGCTTCTCTTTTTGTATCATGTCTGGTTCTGTTTTATTTTTCTCATCCTATGTTTGATGGTTTGGACATGTCCAACGGAGACCTTCAGAGGCACCGGTGCATAGTGGAATCCTAAGCCAGGATAGTAACGTGAAGAGAGGCAAAGGAAGACCGAAGTTGACTTGGGTAGAGGCAATAAAAGGAGACTTGAAAGGATGGAATATACCCAAAGACTTAGCCTTAGATAGGAGTGCTTGGAAAACAGCTATTCACGTGCCTGAACCTTGATTGCTTCTGCTGGGTTTCAACTCTAGCCTACCCCAACTTGTTTGGGACTTAAAGGCTTTGTTGTTGTTGTTGTTGTTGTATTATGTTTGCCTTTCACATGATTAAACATCCTAATATTGATGCAGGGACATGATTTTTGCTGATATCCCAAAGCTCATTCCATTTATGGATTTGGTGAGTGATGCTTTCCAAGCTGTTTGAGATTTTTTTGTCGATCTTTACTACATTACGTTAATTGAGAGCCTTCTTCACTACCTTATGTTAATTGAGAGCCTTCTTTTTTAGGAGGATATGGGCCTATTCAGTTGCTTCTATGATTTTGTCTTCTTCATCTGTCGTGAAAAGGGGCAAAAGAGTATCAGTAAGATCCTCTATTCTCAATGATGTCTGGACGCTACTGGTATCCTAGTATATACTTCTTATACCAATAGAACACTAACTAGGAATTCCCCTTTTCATTTGTATAGCTATTCAGAGAGCTGTAGCAGCATGGAAGATTGTTCTGAACGGAAGGTTCCGTTTGCTTGATCGATGGTGTAACTTCGTTGAGGTATAGAAATTGCTCTGCTTGTCCATGATATGACATCTCCATAATTCAACTCCAATATGTGTTGTTCTGGTATTTGTTTTTTGTGATTGTTTATTAAAGTATTAGTAGTGCTCCATTCTTATCCAGTTACCCTAGAGAATAATAAAAGCAAGGTTGACATGGATATTCTATAGGTGTCATTCTACCGACATTTATTAAGACATGTCATATATATATGAAGATAAGCACTTCACTCTAGTTGAATGGCTGGCTTATGCTGTAAATTATATGGTTTGATACACGATGACTATTGACTAAACAGAAATGTTAGAATATTGATGCACGTGGTAATTATTAGATGTTTGGTTTCCAGTTGTGCCATTCTCGCTAATACTTATGTCCTTGTCAAACCTAAATTTGTGTTGCAAGATGCATAGTTTAGTTAGCACTCTCGCATATTGCAGAATGCATAGTTGCTTTAGTTATCAATTTGGCATCTTTTGCTGGGAAGAAATGTTGAAAACCTAAGGGTTGAAGTACTATAATACTGCTTTGCAACAGTTCAAACCTTTAGTCCTCAATAAACCATTAACATTCTTTTTTCTCGAATATTCCATTTTTTTCTTCAGAAAGGGAAATTAGCTTCATAACTTAGAACTTACACCCCCTTTTCCTATGATGAACAGTCATAAATACACTTCACTGTTTTTTTCTTAGCTAAAAGCCTAAAACTATAATACTCTTTCTCAGAAGTACCAACGCCACAACATATCCGAGGATACTTGGCAGCAGCTGCTAGCTTTCAGCAGGTGTGTAAATGAAGATCTGGAAGGTTATGACCCACGAGGTACAAATTCTTTCTACATCACTACTTCGATTTTCAATTCTATATCTGCAGGCTGCAGCTGCCTTTATAGCGTAGCTCCATGATAATTAAGAAAATTTCTTAGTTCCTGTTCCCTGTGTCTTTTTTCAGGTGCTTGGCCTGTTCTGATTGATGATTTTGTGGAGCAAATGCACAGGTTTGCTGCCACAACATGATTATATTCTCTTGCAGTTCAGTTTATATATGTTCTTCCTGTTGTCAAACATAAAGCATAATCATTAAATGGATAATGCAAGCATTTAATGATTCTCATCAGTTTTCATTTTCTTTCCACTGATTGACTTTCTGCTGTCAATTTCATAGTCAGTAAATCCTTTCTTAAATTAGTCATGAAACACAAATGAGACCTATTTTCTTTCACTACAATACCCCTTGGATTTCCCCTATTATAAATGAATAATCAAAATTTAAATTAGGGAGTGCGGAAAGGTCCGCATGTTGTCCAAGGCTAAGCTATTTTACTCATGGAAGATTTTGAGTAGATCTCAAGATCTATTTTACTCTTGTAACATTCTATTGGAGTATAGGCCTAGATGTGGCTTGCTTTGATAAATTACTACTAGTTTTTTGTAGAATTATTTATTTTGCAAAGCTTTGTGTGATCGGTGCATATTACTGTCTATTCAAAACCATAGTGACAATCTATACCGGGTAGCAAGTTAAAAAAAGAAAACATTGCAGAAACCAGATTGGCTTTGTAGAAATCACAATAGGACGGGGCTCACAGAAGTTGCTGATCAGCGCTGATTCATCCATAACTGTTGCCTGTCAGTTCTTCTTTTGAATGTGTAATGGGAAGCATCTCGCGGGGGAAACCCTGGCTTTCGCAGAGAAAGAACGATTGGAACGTTTGTTTTATGCAATAGCTAAATTAGCTATACAGTTTTAGTGAATTTATTCTTCATAATAAGCTAAGTTAGTCTTCTTGTTGCCTCGGTGAGTAATGTTTCTTCCTAGTTGTATGCTGACTTATGTGTCTCTACTTGTAAAATGTAGAATTTATCACTCCACTGACTGCAGCAGTGCGATGGAATCACAGTGTAGCATTTCCAGTACATTTAAAGGTATTATTATTATTATTTGGACCAGTGTTATTTTACTATATATATATATATATTATCGAGCTTCACATTACACACTGTTCTGAATCTGGTGTTACAGGGCTGGATCCTCTACCTGGATCAAAGAGGAAATGTCCTCACTTCAAGTCCAATGAAGAGGATGTAGAACTTTCAGATAGTTTTACACGTTCTGTCCATCTTACACCAATAAAGCGACTCAAGGAAAGTCATGATGCGAGTTATGGAGTGGGGGAATCCCACAAAATTACCCATTTCTTCTCTAATAGTTCCTCAGATTACCACGAGGATATGCATTTACACAACTCAAGAGGTTGCCTTCAGAACTCCCCTTGTAATGTTGAGGATGCCCTGTCGAAAGGGTTTGAGGGTTGTATTTCGATGAAATGCCCCTTCTGATGTAACCAGGAATGAATAGGTTAGTCATTCTTGTGGCAGCCCAGAAACTATACATGCCCACTAGCTCCAAAATCATCTTGTGTGTATTTAGTCATTTTTTTGAGAGGTCATATATCCGTTTGTGCTGAATGATGATGATCTGTAACCCGCAACGGAGTATATGCAATTCACGTCTATTACCATTGAATGTATTTTTTTAAATGTTTTTATAAGTGTCGGATGTCAAAATACTCTTGCCAATGAAAAATATGGACATAACCTTTCAGATGGATGACTCTTTTGATATACTAATAGACGCTTTGTGCGGATAATCCAAGAATCTGAGGTTAAAGACATTGAAAAGGATGAAAGGAGGTAAGGCGATGGGACTGGATGGTATCTTAATTGAGGTGTGGAGATGTCTCGGGGACATAGCTATAGTATGACTAACCAAGCTGTTCAACCATATTTTTCGATCGAACAATATTCCTGACGAGTGGAGGAAAAGTATATTGATACCGATCTACAAGAATAAAGAGGATATTCAAAGTTGTATTAATTACTAGAGAATTAAGTTGATGAGCCATACTATGAAGCTATGGGAGAGAGTTCTCGAGCATCGCTTGACAGCAATAACGCGGGTCTCTATGAACCAATTTGGTTTCATGTCCGAAAGGTCAACCATAGAAGCTATTTTCTTAATAAGATAAGTTATGGAGCGGTATAGGGAGAAAAAGAAGGACACACATGGTTTTTATTGACTTGGAGAAGGCTTATGATAAAATTCCAAGGAATGTTATGTGGTGGGCTTTGGACAAACATAAAGTCCCAACAAAGTACGTCGGGCTCATTAAGGACATGTACAACAATGTTGTGACTAGTGTTCGAACAAGTGATGGAGATACGGATGACTTCCCGATTAGGATAGGACTACATCAAGGGTCAGCTTTGAGCCCTTATCTGTTTGTCTTAGTGATGGATGAGGTCACAAGGGACATATAAGGGGACATCCCTTGGTGTATGCTTTTCGCGGACGATGTAGTGCTAGTTGATGAAAGCCGAACATGAGTGAATCAGAAACTGGAGTTATGGCGGGAGACTTTGGAGTCTAAAGGTTTTAAACTCAGTAGAACTAAAACTGAGTATATGAGATGTGACTTCGGCACTACTACTCGGGAGAAGAAAGATATTAGTTTGAAAGGTCAAGTAGTGTCTAGAAAGGGTACCTTTCGATATTTAGGATCAATGCTACAGAGAGACGGGGATATTGATGAAGATGTTAGCCATAGAATCAAAGTAGGGTGGATGAAGCGGCGCCAAGCATCTGGTGTCCTATATGACAAAAGGGTACCACAGAAGCTAAAAGACAAGTTTTATAGGACGACGATTAGACCTACTACGTTGTATGGTGCAGAATGTTGGTATACGAAAAGATGACATGTTCAACAGATAGTCGCAGAAATGCATATGTTGCGTTGGATTTGCGGTCATACAAAAAGGGATCGAGTTCGGAACGATGATATACGTAATAGATTAGGGATAGCACTAATCGAAGAAAAGCTTGTTCAACACCGGTTGAGATGGTTTGGACATGTCCAACAGAGACTTTCAGAGACACCGGTGCGTAGTGGAATTCTAAGCCAGGATAGTAACGTTAATAGACGCAGAGAAAGACCAAAGTTAACTTAAGTAGAGACAATAAAAAGAAACTTGAAAGGATATAATATACCTAAAGACTTAGCTTGTCTGAACCTTGATTAACTCAAAGTGTTGTTATAAGCGTCGGATGTTACTGTATTAGCATCAGACCTGTTTTTCGAGGCATCGGACTCGTGTTTGCTTGACAGCATATCCCTCCCACTCAATACCCGATAAAAGCACTTTCTGAAAATTGCCGTCACCACGTTCACATCCTTGTAACTTTGTGATGACAGAATTGAATTACAAGATCTAAATCACTGCGAGCGTGCAGAATAATGCCATCTTTCTTTGCATCTAAGATCTAAACCATTTGAAACGTTACGAGCGCATGCCCAGAAAATGATTATAAAGCAGCAATTCATACAGCTTTAACATGCTGTCATTGGCAGCAAGAACAAGTGCCAGTGAAGTTAAGCCCTAGTAACAGAAATGCTAATCCCTGAAAGTACATATATAAGTAGTAGCTTGTTGTCCCATGGAACACCAGGTTGTATGATGCACAGAGGAAGAGAAACACCGAAAATCCAATCTCAAGGAAATTGACTCTGCAAGAAAGAACAGTATCAGTAATGTATGACGTGTAGTGTCGGCCTGCCTGCTACCCTTAATAGTTTATACCAGAAAATCTTAGTTGCGAGTTTTCACCTGTCCCTTAGCCTTTTCCGGGTTTTCTGAAGCAAAGGAACGTCAGTGTCCTCGAGATCATTCCCCACCTTCTTTGTCACAATCCACTGGTTGAACCCTTCTAATTCCAGCAGTCCAGTCAGTGCAGCTCTCATGCGATGCAATGTCATCACACTCTCAAACAAAATCCAAAATGGCATTATGTGTAGATTTCTGCAAAGACAAGTTGAAGTTCATTAGCTTCAGTTCTGGTGAAAGGACGATGAGCAATGTTGTTCTAGAACTCACAATCACAAAGAAACTTACTTTGGATGTCTTATAGCTGTGACTATGGTAAGCACCATGGGAATATAGGCAACACCCCACACTGGTAAGTAGAGCTCCGGGACTGTGACTGAGATGGGGATTATGACATTGAAGAGAATACAGGCAGCCGTCGGCGCTACAACTCTCCTCACAAAGAAGAAGCTATAGAGCATATAAAACTTCTTGACGAGTGATATATCCTAGTGGAACAACAAGTGGGGCTAATTTTCAGATTTTCCCCCCCAAAGACATGATTTGCCAGAATGGAACCTAGGCGGAGATATGCTCACCTTGGCAACCAAAACATCCTTTGCCATCTTACGGAATAAGTTTGCACCACCACTAGACCACCGGAATTGCTGCCGACAGTAGGCCTTGTAAGTGGACGGCAGTTCACTCTTGACCTGTGAATTGCATAGTCAAATGATCACATCAAATATATTTACTTTTGACAACACTGTTATATGTTAAGATCTACTCACTCTAACATCCCCAACATATACAAATTTCCAGCCCTTTAGGGTTGCTCGAACCGCCAAGTCCATGTCTTCAACTGTAGTTCGGTCCTTCCAACCTCCTGCGTCTCTTATGGCTACCGTACGCCACACTCCAGCAGTTCCTAGAATAGAAATGCCATTAGGGAGATTGTATGGTTTTGAAATCGAAACTCTGGGGTTATTTACCCCTCTTTTCGGGAATTTGTACTCTTTAGAGGTTTAAAAAAGATGTGTACCATTAAAACTGAAGAAGGCAAAAGTTGCTGATCCTGCTTCTTGTTCAACTTTGAAGTGGTAGTCATAAAACATCTTCTGTACCCTTGTCAACAGGCTTGAGGTGTCATTCACTGCAAAATTCTGTCAATTAAGAATTGGACCGATCAGAGTGAATAAAATACTATATTGCTTGAGAAGTTTAGCATTTTTCATGTTATATTATATTTGAACAGTTTCTATGCCATCTTTCTGGCATCATCATGAACCATTGGAGAATATGGAAATGTATTTTAATGTCATCATTATGCAAGGAGATGTTTATTACAAGTTCCAAGTTCCTTGTGCTAGTCGCAAGGACTACTTGTGCATGTTAGAGTATATTAGTAGTTTAGGATATTGTAATCCCGTATTGCCATGTGTATCGAGGAATCATCTTGCCCACCAAAGCCTTGTACTCTATTTATACCGCCCAAGGGCTCAATGTCATACAACCCACACATTATATGCAATACTTCACATGCAACAACCTTGCCCTTGGAGAGTCGACGAACGGAAATGGTGCTCAAGAGCTAACAGGAAATGGAGTACTTACCAAAGGACCACCGAGCTTGAACAAGTGCAACTTCCGGATTGTGCAGAAGGAATGGGACAGTTTGGAGCAGAAAATCTGGTTCAGGCTGGAAATCAGCATCAAATATGGCAATGTATTCGCTTTGCCTTGCATAGTCACATTCCATTCCTTTCTTCAGAGCTCCTGCCTTGAATCCCTTGCGGCTGGTTCTTGTGGCATACTTAATATTGACACCTTTGTTCGCCCAGCGCTCACATTCAAGCTCCACCAAATTCTGCAGCAAGAAGTAATCCCAGTCATCAGATTTTTTTTTTTTGTTAGACCCAATAATATTTTAAATTATCTAACCCACTACGATAATAAGATGGTTGAACTCTTGTGATGGCAGTTCAGATACTGAAATGGTAAGCAAGGTTTAGTAGTTCGCTATCTGAAGATAGGTTGGTAAGTAGCTGCTATGTCAACACAAATGGATAAATCTGATGGCAAGAGGACTGTTTTCTATTTGCTTGGAAGGCCATCGGTGCTTCATCAAAGGTTCCTTGTGCAGCTGTGCTTGCCAACTACTACAGCTCCATCGCACTAACCAACCCATTCCCTAACACTATTCAATCAAACCAGAAAGATCAATCAATATTCATATTTACGACCGTCAAAAAAAATATTCATATTTACTACTGTCACCAGAGAGGAATGGCATGGACATCGTTTTCCTTTTTCATTATATAATTTACTGGCTCACATTTTTGTTTGAAACTTCACTTCCTGAAAATGGCGCTTCATGAAAAATTGCAAGAATTTGGATGACCACAGATCATAAATTTTGATTCCTTGTCGTGTAAACAGATTGGATTTTATAGGAACAGTGCTTGATATGCATGTATCTAGCAGGCATTCCAAATTATGAAGTGAAACTTTTTGAAAGGTGAGGAAGATCCATTCCAAAGAAGAATATGCCCACCAATCATTGAACCGTAGCCTCAGATCTATGGTTCTGAATAAACAAAGACAAGTGAACCGAAAGGCAGAGAGGGGGGCTCATGATGCTGTGAAATGTCAGGAGCCAATAGTTATTCTCATGTGGCTGTACCATAAGGCGTGTGCAGATCTCAGTACCTGAAGGTTCAAGGGCCAAACTCCCCATGGTGCTCCTGACAGACTTTAATGATACTGTTAGTCCAATACCCCACAGTGGTTGATATTGTTAGTTTTGGTATGGTTACTCAGTTCTAGTAACGCTATTTTCGCTGGAATATTATCTTTACATAAACAAAGCTGCAAGCACCTAATAGGCAACAGCAGCAAAACCCAGACAGCTGGGTCCAACCTGCAGTTGGCCATGTGAGTGTATGGTCCAGAAGACTATTAACCTTTGTCCTCATTCTCAGCCTCGTTTCTTCCTTCGAGTTGTTTTCTTCTACACGTTCTGCATTTACCTCATCAAAATATTTGATCATTTATCCCTACTTGGATGATGACTTGTGATTGCGAAATATTTTATCAGGTGAGGCAACCATTTCAAGTTCCCTTTATGCCAAATACTGAAGTAGCTTTCATGTAACTAATCTCATAAAAGCAGGAGCATCTGTTATGCTAGCTACTCACTTCACAATGGAAACATTCTCTCTGCACCCACTCAACCGGCCCAAATGATTAGCATGCTCCTATGAGGCTATTGCAGTTAGTCTCGTGTGAAAACTTTATCATCCTGCTGGTATTGATTCCACAACAGGTCGAGTTTGAGCACTCGTCTGCTATAACAAACCAGTTTGATGTTTCACTTGTTCTGATACGATCTAACAGTACCAAAATTAATAGTTTGTCCACCAAACAAGGGGTTCTGTAGGAATAATGCCCAACCATGAAACAAGGAACTAGGAGAGACAGGTTACCTTGATAAAGGGATCAGTGGAATCGTCCAGCACTTGAACTATTATCCTGTCCTTTGGCCACTGCAGCTCACATGCTGCCGCTATCGACAGCTTGTACACCTAAGAGCCCATACCACACACGGAAAAACGCACCACATCAAAATAATATTTAATCTCACAAAGCAACAAGAGGAAGAACAATTCATCAAATAATCAGTGGATGAATAGTTAAAAATTTCGATACGAAATACGATTTTAGCATCTTTTTCGTGGTGGTCTGTTCTCACCTCCAGCTCATTGTACATGGGTATCTGGACCAGGACCATAGGGAAGTGGGCGCTTCCCTTCTCCTCGTCAGCGCCGCCGAGAGCCTTCCACTTGAACCTCCACTCAGGCCGCCACCCAATGGCCTTGACGCCGAGGCTGACGACGCTGTTGTACACGGCCTCCACCACCAGCATCACAGACATCACCATGCACACCCACACCGCCACCTGCAGCACCGGCGCGATCACCCCGGCCCGCACCGCCACCCACGCCCCGTACACGTCCGCCGCCGCGGTGGACGTGCCGTCGAGGACGCCTATAAGCCAGGACACCGCCCCCTGGAAGTCGAGCGGCGCGCCCGCTGCGGAACGAAGCAGGACAAAACCAACGGGCGGCGGGAGCAGCCGCGCAGGGCATGTCAAATCACGTGAGCTGTAGCGCGGCCGTCCGAGCGAGAGGGGTGAGGGGAAGAGAAATAGAATGGGTGGGAGCAGCGAATGTGTGTACCGGTGAGCGGGCGGCTGAAGTCGACCGCGCCGACGGACACGGCGACCGCGACGGCGGCGGCGGCGGCGAGGACGAAGAGGAGGGCCCCGCCGATTTCCCCAGCCTCCATTGGGTGGTGGCCGGTGGTCTGGTGGTTGCGGTCGCTGACGGAAGGGGAGGTGGGGCGGAGCCGCGGGGGGAGCCGAGGACGACTGCGCGATGCGCTCGACGCCACTGGGGCTTTTCTTAAGTCGACGCCACTCTTGCCCTCCTTTTCTCTTGTTTAAGTTGTATTTTGCATTGAACTGTACGTTGATACAGGATAAATAAATAATTTATATTAAAAATATACGGATCACACGATAAGATAATAATATTGTAAAAATTAAATACTAACGTTAAAGTGACATTTAATCAAAAAGCAAAGTTTATAAATTTAACACAGTCACGAAGTGTACGGCGTCGCAGGCTCACAAACTCTACTTTATAGACATTTCCGTAATACGACTAAAATAATATTTTATATTGGCAGAAAGAAATATCTGATATCCATTTCTTTTATTATAATATATTTATCTAGATAATGTTTGAGGTGAGGGCACGGTTATAGTTTTTTGTAGCTTTGCGATATTGTGAGATGATTGATGTCTTGCAATGATCCTTTCATTAATTTAGTTTTTTTATCTATGTTTAATTATTTATTCAGTCTATTTTATAGACACGTCGGTAGATAATGGATGACAAAATTCAAGCATATATAATTTATCTCTTTAACTTTAAGCATGAGTTTTTTTAATTTTTAATTGATATATTATCCTTTTGTTTTTACCGTAGCGTTAGTATGAACATGCATGAAAAATGAAGATGTCTTTACACTGCAGAAATCTTTCAAGAAGATCATGCATAGATTATTCTTGTATTGAATATTACATATATACAATCACCTAAATATTCTAATTAAACTATAAAATTTTGAATTAGGATATAAGATAAGACATGCAAACAGATATTTCAAAACTACCTGTAGAGTCAAAGAACTTAATAAATAAATCTTTTTGAAGGCAATGCAAATTCTCTCTAATCTTTCATTTAGTGTAGTTAGTGTTATCATAGTACCCACATATATTCATGGGAAATAAATCGTAAACAAAACATGAACATTTTTTGTTGCGACATTTCAACATGGGTATATCGTCCTGCCAATATCCTTGAGACAGGTCACATAAAGGATGAGAGTCCCTCTATGAGATTGCTCACAAGAGACTCAAATTTATATCTGATCATGGTAATGTTGAATTGTTTTGTATCAAAAGCATCGACAATGATAAACGGGGACATAGGTTTTAGTAGCATAGTGGAGGAAAACTCAACATTGGCCTTCCCAGCAACTTTTCTGAGCCTTTATAGTGCTAACTTGTCCTTACTCAGATAGTCAAGAGGTGCATCATAAAATTATGCACCACTAAGAAGAGTGTCACCATTGGTTGCCTTGACCAGAAAATATATCAAAATTAAAAATTACAACACCTCATTCAACATCTTGGAATAGACACTCAAGTGGATACCTTATTTTATAATATATGTCTGTGTGGAATAGTCCTAAAGCCACACATATTTATACGGTGAGTATAACATACTTTGTTTTAAAATTTTATGAGAGATTTTTTAAGACACACAGTATTATCCATGTGACAAGCACTAATATTTACATATAATACTCGAACCTGTGTGTACAATATTATATAGAGATGCAACGGAACTTATTTATGGATTTATTAGCGCATGAAAGAAATAAATATCAAATAATTCTTTCTGTCGATATAAAATATTATCTTAGCCATATCACGAAAAAGTCTATACAGTAGAGTTTGTGAACCTACGACGCCGCGTTCTCCGTGACTGTGTTAATTTTATGAACTTTGCTTTTAAATTAAATGTTACTTTAACGTCGGTACTTAATTTAACAATATTATTATCTTATCGTGCGATTCGTGTGTTTTTAGTATAAAAGATTTAGTTGTCCCGTAGCAACGCACAAGCACACTACCTAGTTGAATATAAAAGGAGAGAACTGGCTGCATTCGTACATATAATGTACGTCAGTTAAGGTTTTGTTTGAATTAACTCAGTTCATGAACTAATAATAATAACTAAATGTGGCATATATCGAATTCTTTTAGCCACTGCTTGTGTGCAGAAGCGAAAAACATCCCAACCACGTTTGCCCTAATATGAGTATTTGAAGTAATAAACCTTTGAAGAACATCAACGTACCTCCCTTTCAGAGATTGGGTCGAATCCAACCTAGAGCCTCGGAATCCTGCATCTTTTCCTCGACGGGCTTCACTTCGGATGCGCCAGTAGCAATATCAACGATCTCCAATCGATGGACCAAGTTGTATGGATCTCCATACAATGGCTTAGACATATAGACTTTGTTCTCCTTATACTTGGATATACTTGTTCCACTGAAGCTTTCATTGAAATGTTTAGACACGAACAGTGTCTGATCACCGATGTCTCTCACCCTGGACCACTCCGGCATACGGTCGTGGAGGTTGCACTTGTAGATCGCGCTGCTGTAGGTGAAGCTCTGTGTCTTATAGAACGTGCTCACCATGGCACCCACAATGTGCAGCTCACCGTTTGATTCCAAGTAGCTGCGGTGGCAGAGCCCCGCAGGTGGCGACAGCGATGACAGCAGCGTCGTGGTTGGAGTAGTGCCGGCGGCGTTGCTGCTGCAGACGAAGATTTCTCTAGCGCAGTCGATCGCCAAGAACTTATCTTGGCAGTGGACGATGGACCCCACGGAGAACTCCAGTTTGGTGTCGAGCAGCGTCCATGCGCTGTCGACTCCAACCCGGTAGAACGCGACCTCCGTGGAGCACCCAAGCATGGCCATGGCCACACACTCATGGCCGGTGGCGTCAGGCGGCGCTGAGAGCACGATCTCACGGAAGAACACGTCCCTCATATCTTCTAGCTTGTTGGCTCTGCCTGCGGCATCCGCGTCCCCGTAGCCGTTGGTGAGATGGAGGACCCATCGGCCGTCGACCCTAGACACGTGTTTCGATGAGTACGCCGCCGCGACGTGTTCGTCTGTTGGTGGGAGCTCAACGCGGGGGCACGGGCACCAGTGAATGGATTCAGCAGCATCGTGGACGCCGCCTCGTCCATGAGCGCCAGCCACCCACATGAGGAGCCGCACGTCACCTTGCCGCGTACGTCGGGCAGCGTCTTGGACAAGACCTTCTTCTCTAGGACGCAGTAGAAGCCGACGCGGTCCGAGTCAGGGTCGAGCGGAAGCAATAGAAGCGGCCCGAAGTTCATGAACGGGACGACGGCACACCATGGGGAGCAAGCGGATCAGAAGGACGCCGCATCATGGCCTGACGTGAGACGCTGCTTGATGGACTTGAGGAGATCCTCTGGCAAGCCAAATCTCCAGTCAGGAAGAGGTAGGGACCTTCTTTTGGGATTGGAAGGCTGAGCCATGGAAGACAGATGACACAAACTATGGTTCACGCAAGAAATGGTGTCTAGTGTCTACTGTTGCGATGGACCATGGATTGGGGAACGAGAATATGGGGAAAGGATTCAAAATGAACAGACCCAAGGGCAATTTCAGCAAGAAACAGTAAGCGAGGGCGATGGAACACGTGAGCGTGAAACCAAATAAAAGGAGAAAAAAGCTGTCCCTTTTGCAAATGCGAAGAGAGAAAGTAATTAAATGTAGGCAGATTTGACAAGGTTCTCAGAAATGTAAAGAGATTTCTTTTGTCTTAATTTTCTTTCCTTCTATGTTAATTATCTTTTCTTTTGCTTGGTGCCATGTATGCTGGTGCATGCAAACATGCAATGTGTATATGGATAGCACAATAATTTTCTACTTCCTATTTTACCGTGATTCATCTATCACATGACAGGCAATATTCAATCAAGGAGAATGGCATGATCAATCAGTAATTAAGATTAACCTGTAATCAATGTGTAATTGGTTTGACCAGCCTATAGTACGCTGTATATTTATTTATATAGGGCCTGTTCGCTTGGAGGAATTCTGGAGAAATTTGGATGGTTTGAACGAATGCTGGAGGAATTTATGAGAGAAAAACTCTATTTTGGATAAAAAAAGAAGCGGATTAAGCCGGGTTTAAGGGCACGCGAACGGAGCCATAGTAGCGTGCCCGTGCTAATGCTACGGCAACATTCGGGTGTGTAAATTAGAACCACCAAAAGATATCACAAACTGGTACTCTCTTAAATTAGGTTCCAATGGTTTCCTTTATGGATAATTACATTGTAACTCCACTAATTATCATACAACTACATATATAATTGAAAATATATATATTCTAACCTCTAAAATTATTTTGACTAAATTGACCAAATGTTGGATCAAGAAAACGAAGAAAAAATATACATGGTGCATTATCATATTCTAACAGAAGAGCTTACGATTTTATATATCGACACATATCTATATAATTGCCATCTTATTTTAGGCAATGAATAAATGAATGCACACAGCACCATTAACATAAGCAACAAAACAAATCAAGCTAAATTAAAAAAATAAAAAGAAACAAAATCATGACTTAAAGACTATACGCACATCACTCACGGTCACCTAGATTGGGAACGTCTAATGCCTTCATCTTAAGCTGCATCTTTTCCTCTCTCTATGCGAAACTAAAACAATCAATATTTTTTCCATCCCTGCCTGCATGCAAATAAAAAAGAGAGATATATTAGGTACCTAGCCAAATTATGTGGCTTGTGCAAAGATGATCAATAGGACTCTAGCGAAGAAAACACTTTGTAGCTTGGTGTTGAGGATCTGTCGACCACAGCGGTTTATCAAGTACGGTATTTGTTAAACTAAACATTAGCTCAACCATTCAAGTGAACATGAGAACACGATCCTTTTTTATTTCTTTTGAGGAACCCTACGATAGACAAATGTACACTCATTAACTAAAAAAATAATAACCTATGATAGACAAATGTACACTCATTAACTGAATAAATAATCAGACAAAGGCATAATCAGTGTCAAAAAGCAAAGTTTATTTCATGAGAGCAGGAGCAAGTCTAGACAGACAACCACATACATCTAAATTAGTACGA